ATGAAATCTTCCAGGTTCTGAAAGGTAGTTGAGAGGAGGGGTGGTTACCCCAGCCTTAAAACAGAATGTTGTGAATCTACTTCTGTAGAAGCCTACCCTGAATCTAGGAGATCTCAATAACTATCAACCAGTCACAAATGTTCTGTTCTTGAGCAAGGTTTTTGAACAGGTGGTAGCTAGACCACTTCAAGCTTTCTTGAATGAGGTGAATTGTTTAGATTTTTTCCAATTTGCTTTTATACCTGGTTATGGGCCTGAAAGAGACTTGATTGCCCTGATGACCTACACAGGGAGATGGACAGAGGAAGTGCAGCTCTGTTGATTCTCCTGGACTTCTCCTGGACTTCCAATACAAAAAATCATGGTATTATTCTGGACCACCTTTCCAGGCCGGAGTAGGAAGGCATTGATCACCCAGATCAATCTCATGCTTCTAACTGATCCAAGGGAGGTTGTAGAAACCTTGAACGGTGGCCTGGAGGCAGTTTTGGAGGGGATGTGGGCTAATAAACTGAAGTTTAATCCTAACAAAATAGAAGCTACTAGTGAGCAGAAGGATGACCTGGAATTATTGTGGCACCAGGCCCAGATGGGGTTGTGTTTCCCTTAAAGAAACAACTCCATGGTCTGGGAGTGCCCTTCGGCCTTGGCTACTGCTGGATAAGCAGGTGGCATCTGTGGCCAGGAGTGCCTGTTACCAGCTTTGACTGGTTAGTCAGCTGCAGCCTTTCCAGGGCAGAAAAGATCTGGCCACATGTGGTTCATGTTCTGGTTGCATCTAGATTAGATTACTATAATGCTCTCTGCATGGGTCTGCCTTTGAGAAGTGTTCAAAAACTTCAATTGGTACAGAATGCTGCTGCCAGGATGTTTATTTATTTATTTATTACATTTTTATCCCGCCCTCCCTGAGTGATCCCTCCTTCCTGCCCAATGTTTTTATGTTTTTGTATTTTTGGTCTGGTTTAATTGTTTTAATGATGTGTTCCTTGTTGGTTTGAATAGCTTTTAAAGTGTGATTTTACGATGTAAACTTCAATGTTTTAGCCACCCTGGTAGCCCCTCTGAGGGAAGAAAGGCAGGGTATTAATTGTGTAAAATAAATAAATAAAACAGAGGTAATCTAGTATGAAAAGTGAGCAATTACACTCTACTAATTTATATCCTTCACTTATTAAATGTTTCACTCTGGTTTCTAAAAGAAAGTGTTCCACTTGTCCTTTAATGTTATGGTACTTTAAGAATAAATAGCCTTTTTGCAAATATCTAAAGCAGCGGATGATACAGGCCCAGAAAAAAAGTTTATGGTCTAATGATAATCAGTAAATTTGCAGTGTGTTAGTAAAGGGTTTTTTAATCCATGGCTATATGAGAAGTTTTGACCTGCAGGACTCACACCAATAGATCAGCCATTTAAATAAAACACAAAGCACCCAATTCACTGAGCACAACTCCCACATAACCTTCAATTGTTTCAGTGGGCCTTGAACAAGAGCTCAAGTGGACCTCAGGTGGATTAAATTCTAAGTTGTTAACCTATTTATGACCCAGGCCTTAACAAATCTGCTGAGTAAGTGTCTGCTGGCTCCTCTTTTCTCTTCAGCATGTAACCGTAGGGTTACGACTCAAATAGGCCAATTCTGATCCAAATCCTCAAAAGATGTACTGCTGAACAGTTTCAAAAGATAGGCTATCATTCCCAGCTACTAATTCCCATTCTGTCACAGTTGCTTTTAACACAGTGACTCTTTAACACACTAGTCATCCATGTACAATACTATTTACAATACTGGCATTTCAAAAATAGCAGTGGGGGGGGGGAAGAGGCAGGAAGTAGTGGGGAGGGGGGTGGGTACACAGGTGCACAGACTGACAAACACTTCAACTGGATTTGAATCAGGACAAGAACAAATACTTGGCAAATATCCAGAAGAAACATAGCATGTACACACACACAAAATGCCAAAGATCTAATAGTCACATAAAACTTAGGTATGTATTGTACATACATTCATAATTCCAATAGCTTATTACATTGAATACAGGAAAGGGCTTTCCTTTTTCCATCAAAAAACTGATGAAAACTGCTTCTTTTATGTTTTACCACAATTCTGTTGTCTAGTGAGAATTGATTTAAAAAATAAGTTTTGATATAGGCAGACATCCCAGCCATAGACAAAAAGCACACAACATAAAACAAGAACATTTCCACTTCTTGCCCGGTTTGGGGTTTCCCTGTGCTTTCCCTGTCCTAGAAATGAAGAAAGTCTTCTCTTCACAAATATCTTGCGATCACGCAACAAGCGGCCTTCTGCACTTGCGTCTTGTGTAGGCTTTTCATTTAATTACAGCCTCTCTCAATAAGGCAATTTCTGCCCTTTATTGTATTAGCACTTGCAAGTCTAATGCCACAAATTCTTGTCTGCATCTTTTAGCTTCAGTCCAACCATGGTAACACAGATATTAAACATGACCTTGCATTCCATAGGAAGAATGAAAACAGAGTCTCCTCCAAGTACTTTGTTGCCTTGTGAA